CATTAACTCATTCTTCCCCCCCCCCCCCTGCAATGTAACACTTCCATTTCTGCCCCCTGTTTTATGTCTTGTCCTTATGTGTTTCTTTGTTAAGCGACCTTGGGTTGATGAAAGGCGCTATATCAATTAAAGTTATTATTATTATTATTACTTGCCAGAAACACATTTGGAATTTGAACAGTTTTTGGATTACAAGTCATGACGTTCCCGAAAGATCACGGGCACAGATAAGGAAGTAGATTGAGAGCACTTAGGTTTCCAGGTTGCAGCACCATGGATAGAGGCAGAGTCTTTACCCTCAAACCTACCTAAGGACTATTTCAGGCATTGTGTTTGCAGAGGCAGAGAGCCTTAGAGAAACGTAGCTAAAGGGAATGAAGAGGCAAATATGTGTTTTAAATAAATTCTCTGTGAAGTGAGTCGGTGTAATGTGTGATCCTCTCTTTGAAAGTTCTCAACACCTACACACCTTGAACAACACATCTCAGGAGACATACACCTCTGCCCCTCACAATTGTATAAGACACCTTGCACACACTCTCACAAACAAATTCCACAAGACATTCAAATGAGATGTGTAGATGAACTGTACTGCATGTTCCTGAATGCCCTTTGTGTTTGTGTGTGAATCAAAGCTTTTCTTAAACACAACAAATGGCTCAATCAACGGACAAGTAGCTCTAATTTCTAATGAATACATGCATGCGTGAGTGTGTGACGGTGTGTCAAGAGCACAACATTTCTCATACACGATCACGCCTGATGAAAGAGGCAGGCCTTCTACGGAAACATTGAGGTTTTTGAAAAGACAAAAGAGGAAAACGAAAGAAATTGTGCAATGACAATGTAGCTCCTTACGTGGGCAACACCGTTTTGATCAGTTTATCATATACTGGTATTATAAGTAGCTGAGAATGATGAAAGAAATGCACCATGTGAGTGGCAAAACCTCCACTGAAAATGTTTTTTAAAGCACTCTGTCTAGTGAGGTAGGCTATAGGAAACCTAGAAAAAAAACAAGCTGTAAAATATATCCGGTGTTGGAAATTATTCAAATTGTGGATGAGATTGACAGGTGTGCTATGTGTCCTGCAATGTACAATGTACTGATCCGCTCTTAAAGGTGGGGTAGGTAAGTTTGAGAAACCGGCTCGAGATACACTTTTTGTTATATTCCATGGAATGCTCTTAACATCCGATAGCAATGAATATCTTAAGTGCTTTGACAAAAAATCCATTAAAAAATGTCATCTGTGGAAGCCGTAATACTGTAAAAAGTACAACCAATCCGTTTAGCCGGCCCGGCTAAACGGATTAGATTGCCGCCTTGTCTGTCAGCCTTCCATCTCGTGCACGCACAAATGTATCTCGTGCCCTCATTGGGCGTGCATTGCAGCAGTACTTCAATGACTCGCCAGCAACAGGCGGCCACTTTCACCAGTCTGCTGACATCATGTGCGCGTTCATGTGTGTTGGAGGAGGTGCTCTGTAAGGAAGTCTGAAGGAAGGGGCCGATTCTTTTCGGCTGTGTACTTTCAAATTTTAGTGCACTCGAGCCGGTTTCTGAAACTTACCTACCCCACCTTTAAGTGTTGTCATGATCCTAATTGTGCAGAAATCCGAATGATTACCCTTTGCTCTAACAGCCAAGCCTCAAGCGCTTCCTCTTAATAGCTCGAGTGGCACTTGAAACAGGCCCTGTGGACAGATGAGCCTTTTTTTCCAAAGGGAGAACGTGATTACAGTCCAGAACACAATATTTTCCAGAGTTTTTTATAGGATACCAGTGTGTGTTGTGTGAGATTTACGTGGGACAAAAACTCCCACACTCCTTGTTTCAATCAGCCTGGGGCTACATGGCTTTTTGCACTCTTAATAATATTTTTTGTATGGATGTACTCCCAGGCTGCATGTCTTATATTTGAAAGGTTGTAGGAACATATAGTAGGAGTCATAGAGATGTTAAATACATGCTCATGGTTACAAGACATCTCTTAGTCATCTCTCTCATATTCATTCAAGAAGGGGGACGATCTATTTTGTTTGATTAATGTAAAAGCCGTTTGCATTTGGCTACTGAAAAAGTCCACTCACTGGTTATTCTCAGTTATTGGTATGGTTGAGTTTAATAACGTATAGCTCAGTGACATTTTCAGTAGGTTCTGTGTGTTATATTATCAATCAATCAATCAATGTTTATTTATATAGCCCAATATCACAAATGTTACATTTGTCTCAGTGGTCTTCACAGTTTGTACAGAATATCAGTATAACAATACGACACCCTCTGTCCTTAGACCTTCACATCGTACAAGGAAAAACTTCCGAAGAAAACCCACAGTTTAAAGGGGAACATGGGAGAAACCTCAGGGAGAGCAACAGAGGAGGGATCCCTCTCCCAGGACGGACAGATATGCAATAGATGCCGTATGTAAATCGAAAAGATAATACATTTGCAACATAGGTAGTCCAAATGTTTGGAAATGCATGTGTATATTAATGAGAAAGCCGCTGTGTTTCTTGCTAACTTTAAAGAGGTACCAAGTCCACACAGCTTTTCATGGTGGCCATAGTTACTGTATCTTTTTTTATACTGTGCTAATAAGCGATATTTTTGAAATCTAATTTTGGAAGTGTGTGTCATTTGCTTTGGCTCAATTCTTCTATGAGAATATTTATTTTCAAAACAATACAGATTTGAATGTCTTGTTCATAATAATGAATATTACTCATCAAACGTTTAATACAAATGTCTACACATGCTATATAACCACTTGGGGTGTACACGGGTTACTGATCAAAACGGATGAGTTGATTCTCATCGTTAGAGCCATCACTAGTAAATATTAATCCTTTATGTTTTGTATTCTCTCAGATATAAAAGTTGACAAAAAGCTCTGGCCCGACACACAGCACCAACAGGATGCCCACCAATTCACCCATTAGAAAATAACCTGTGAGGAGGTATATTGTTCTGTTTTTTATTGAAGTACTGCAGTTCTGTTTTTGTGGCAAATATTCTGTTCACTATATGACTTACTATGAAAGACCAGTGATGATTTGTTTGCTCTTTTTTTATAGAGTATGTAACATTGCTAAAAGTACTTTATGAGCACAAAGGAAGTGTGTTTTTTACCAAATACCAAACACGTGTTGCTTAAAGGTGGGGTAGGTAATTTTGGAGAAACCAGCTCGAGTGCGCTAGAATTTGAAAATACACAGCCGGGAAGAATCTGCCACTTCCTTACAGAGCCCCTCCTCCAACACACACGAACGCGCACATGACCAATGAGGGCACGAGATAAATGTGTGCACAGAACCACGGCTTCCACAGATGACGTTTTTGTATGGATTTTTTGTCAAAGCACTTAAGATATTCATTGCTATCGGGATGTTAAGAGCATTCCATGGAATATAACAAAAAGTGTATCTCGAGCCGGTTTCTCAAACTTACCTACCCCACCTTTAATACTTTGAATAATGGTGAAGAGTATCTGAAGGTGAAGGGTAAGTTTGTAAAATATTGTTTGTATAAAGTGGTTTAGTTCAATAAGATAATGATTAAAAATGGATTTGACGGTTAAGCCTCACACAAATAAAATCACCCTAGAAATGATCCTCTTCATTTCTAAATCTGTGAACTTGAAAACTTCTTAGCTTAGTAAAGAGCTTTACTAAATAAATGTCCTTGCAAACTTAGTTGACAAAGGATTCAATGCTCATCAATGCTAGAGTACCGTGTAGGAGTAATTCTTGTTCCATTTAAATGAATAAGTCCAAGGCAAACACAAAGTTTAAATAAGAGAGAACATTGAAAATGTTGTTTCATAAAATTGTGTTTTTGTGTTACTCCTCCAGGTATCTTGCCCATTGACTAATGAAAAAATAGTACTGGTTGAATTCTACAAAATATAAATGCATATTACCTTGCCCAATAAAGAGCAAATAAAATGGTCAGGAGGATACTCACATTTGATGTTAAACAATTTCATCCAAAACATATTAATAATCCCATTAGGGTGAGATACTTGTTTCATTATCTTTCTTAGTAAAGAACAACTATCAGTATATTCTGATTGAAGCGGGGCAAGTTAGGTGGTAAACAGAGCATATCAACAACATAAAAACTATGCATAATTCAGTATATTTTTGAAGGCGTTCATTATCATCAGAAAAGAGTTGAATAACAAGCTCAAGGGTGCAATTATACCCATAGGAAATAGTATGATTTGGCATACTTCACAGCAGCCGCATAAGGCCTCCTGGGTAATTCCAACACTATGACAAGCTTTTCTGAAGGACTCACCTGGGCTCATTCAACTGCTCTTACACATCAAACAGGAGATAGTCTTTGAACTTTAAACAGCAGAAGAGAAAGAGACACATAGATCTGCTACAGCAGTGCAGTGTGTCAAACAAGTCACTATAGTGGCATATGAGCTGTGAAGATAATAATCTGTCAATCAGCGCACTGCAGGGGTTAAACCCCTATCCGGAATTACTGTGGCTTTCAGCAGATATGTGGTACAGATCAGCAGGAATTGGTGTTCTGGATAATGTCATAAACTGGGAGCTATAGCATTAAAGTTGCAAGCAAACTAACCAGAATAAGGCATTTGGTTTAAACTACTGCATGGTGTCAGTTAAATGTGTTTTGTTTTTTTATTATTGTAAAAGCAGTATAAGTAAGATGCAATAATTTACTATGGACTGGTTTTTGATATTGGAGTTCACTGATTGAAGTGATATTTTGGGGGAAAGCAAGCTCCAAGGTGGCTTAAAACATGAAATGTGCAAAAATGCCAGCTACATGTAAAACACATTCACTATAGAATTTATAAGAGACATTCATTAGTAATGCAAATGATTACTGCCACAACAAAAGTCGTACAACAGGCACAAATACACAACGCCTTGCATTAAAAAATGTGAGTGATTGTTAGTGACTGTGATATATAATCACCTTTGTAAATACAACACCAAGGAGGAACATTTCTTACCAGAGTTCCTCAGTTTGCGGTTCCTGAACACGGATATGATAACTAGCAGATTTCCCAGCACGTCCACCACCGTGGTGAAGATCAAGACGCTGGCCAGGATTGCTATGACCCAGGCGGGGCGAGCGCTCTCGTCCGTGTCCAGTGCGCGCTCCAGCTGCCCCAGCCGTGGCTCTGTCCGGTTCTTTATGAGTGTGAATGTGTCCGGCATCACTGGCCCACAGCCCAACGCTGCCTTCAAGTCCCAACTGTGCTTTAAGTCCCGCAGGTACCGCCGGTACCTGTGTGTCCTAAACAAAACATGGATCGCGCCTGGATGCCTCTCCAAATTCCAAAACGCACGTAAAGTCTGCTACATAAAATCGAGAGGAGTTCGTTTAACCATGTGGTTTTCATTCGTGACCTTTATATAATGTCACATGGAGTCTTCTCTTCATTTGTGTCCGCGCAAAAGTCATCCGTATGCCAAGGACAGCTGATCAGACACCCAATGGTGCCACGCCTCCTCCCTGGTGAGAAGATTTCACTTAATTGTCGTTCAAATAACGTTTCATAAAACTACTTACATTAAAGTCTTCATCCTCTTCGAGTGCTTCTGGCTTGCTGCTTGGCATCACAGACTCGTGCGCCAACGTAAGACATGATGACAAAACATGTCAAACCATTACACCGCCCTGGAGTCCTTGTGTTGTATTCAATAGCATCTGCAAAAACCGAGGAACAAAGTGTCTTCCCGTTCCATTTTTGATGCCCTTACAATTCGACCAAGTACGACGCAGCCGGCGCTGTGTGTGCCGAGGAGGCTCAGTGGTAAATATCACGGAGATGCCCTCAGACTGGCACACGGCTCCGCTCTCCACAGATCTATCCTCCTTTCTCCTCCTCTCTGTGATTTCCACGCGCCATCTCCAATGACCATGCCGTGGCGGGCGTGCAAACAAAGACTCCCCTCATTTAACCTGCACGTACCCAGCGGGGGGTCTGCGCGGGAAGTCCAATCAGCGCACTGTGATTTATGTGGACCACGTGTCACAGACAATTTTAAGTGTGCACTAATTGAGCATAACAAGATACACATCTTCTGCTAGAGCTTAATGTTTATAGTATAACTGTTTTATTTGGTTTCCAAAAGCCTGTGTAAGAACTTGAGAAAAATCGCATGGAGCTATGAGTCTTTCTCTCACACAATATTGATTCAACCAATATCATTTAGCAGAGTGGGCATACATCCACAGGGGTGTCATTGTTAGACTCAGGACTATTTGATTGACTTTATGCACCATGCAGTGAAAGCAATTGGAGGCGGCAGTTTAATCCCATTAATCCATAACACGACTCACTGGTGGCAGCCAGTTGAACTTTCCATTTCATCCAGTGGACGTTTCATTGATGCTGTCAGCGCCTGTGGTGACACATTGAGGCCAGCACCATATACCATGCACTTGTTTAACTCTTCACCGCTGGAGGATTGCTAAAGCACAGCAGCAGGAGCAGACCAGTGTCAGCTTCAAAGCAGGGTGATGTGATGACCAGGCTACAGGCTGTGGGGTTAGCTAGACACACACACACACACACACACACACACACACACACACACACACACACACACACACACCACACACACACACACACACACACACACACACACACACACACACACACACACACACACACACACACACACACCACACACACACACACACACACACACACACACACACACACACACACACACACACACACACACACACACACACACACACACACACACACACACACACACACACACACACACACACACACACACACACACACACACACACACACAAACTGAAAACCCCAGGGTAAGGGCTGAACATTATCCCAAAATCACACACTAGAACCAATGGCATTGATGTGCAAAACATAAATCTGCTAAATAAAAACGGCAAAAGCCTCATAATATTATGCTATGAGTGTGGTGGACGTGCGTCATAGACTTCTAGTGGGATTTCTGTGTTTGCTCGTTAGGAAATAACTTTTAATAGTCCTAATGACTGACTCATGAAGCATATATGATTGTGGGTGTAAAAGCGGCAGGAAGTGAATGGATGATGGCCACAAAAACTGGGCATCAACATTTTCCTCTTCAAGAGCCAATGGCGTCATTATTTCATTGATATTGATTAGTGCTCGTTTGTTTGTTTGTTTGTTTATTTAAATGACAGTGCACATTAATCCACATTGCTGTAATTGTGCCAGTATTAGCCAGCAGGCTAATTTTCAACTGTTGTCCTTGGCAAGATGTTAAATAACCACAACAAGACTAGAGAAATAAAAACATAATTAAAAATAATACAACAGCAGTACAACAATAAATAGGAACATGCAAACAGATGAAATACTATCATACTATGATACAGTTAAAATTGTTCACATTTTTGATTGCTTAAAAGCCAGTTCTTAAGATAGTGGTTAAATGTATGATAGGAGGTGTTATTCCTTATCTGTATCCGTAGTGTGTTCCAGAGTGTTGATGCCCTCACAGAGAAACAGTGTTTACCAAAGGAACTGGACCTAAGAGGGACTACACAGTCCCCTCTTAGGGCAGACCTTGTGGTTCTGAGTGGTGGGGGTGCCTTGCCGTTTATAATCTTAAAAATGAGACATGCATCAGTGTGTTTTAAAAGATTTCCCCAGCTGAGCAGGTTATGTTTGTCCAGGATTTTGCAATGGTGGAATAGCTTAGGCTTTCTGTCCAAAACTTTGAGAGCTTGTTTGTGAAGTGATAGGATAGGCCTTAATGTTGTGCTATTCACCTGGGTCCAGCTGGTCATACATGTTAGGTGGGGAATGATCATGGCAGTCATATAGTTTTGCTACAGGTGTTGTCAAACAGTTCCTTATATATCTAAAGTTTGCTAGATTGTATTTAGTTATTTGCATTACCTTTCTCACTTGTTTTTTGAAGGATAGAGTAGTGTCAAGGATAATGCCTAGATATTTAAAATGTGTAACTGTTTGAATGACCTCCCCAGACACATAGACCTTGGGTTCACAGTGTGATAGTGTTGGTCTTGCTAAAAAACATACAGACTGTCTTCTTAACATTTAGATATAGCTGGGAGTCAGTAAGCCATTGATTTACATGAACCATTGCATCACTTAGTTTGGCAGCAGCTTGTGCCTTGGTTTTTTCATGGACATAAATGGCAGTGTCATCAGCGTACATTTGCACCTCACATCCAGTGCACACTGATGGCAAGTCATTTATATAAAGGCTGAATACAATTGGGCCCAGGATAGATCCCTGGGGTACACCCAGTTCCTTCCTCAGGGGTAGTGATGTCTCACCACTTACCCTTACACATTGAACTCTCTGACAGATAGGAGCTCATCCAGTCTATAGCACTGGGTGAGAAATTAAAATAAGACATTTTGTGAATGAGTACTTGATGATTGACTGTATCAAAAGCTTTCTTAAGATCTAAGAAGATTGCTCCAACAATGCCTCCATTTTTGATTTAATATTTTCCACAAGGAAACAATTTGCGGTCTCAGTGGAATGATTGGCTCGGAAGCCAAATTGCATGGGGTGTAGTGTGAAAGGACTACTGTTAAGATGTCCAGTCAATTGCTCAGCTACACCTTTCTCGGAGATCTTAGACATGACAGGTAAAATACTAATAGGCCTACAGTTGTTTGCATCAGTTGTGTCCCCGGATTTGTGGACTGGCACAACAATGGCTAACTTCTAGTTTTTTCCCTCCCTAAAAGAGGTGTTAATTATTTTAGTAATTGTCCCTGTGAGAGTGGCATGTTTCTTTAGAAACAGAGAATCCAGTCCAAACGTGTCTTTTGATTTGGAATTTTTTAAAGAAGAAATTATAGAATTCACTTTGGATTCAGAAGTCTCTGTCAGGGAGAAGACTGGCTGTGTACTATCAATAGGTGATGAGTGTATTTGACCAATTTGGGGAATGTTTATAGTCAGCCTCACAGAATTAACAAAATGGTTATTAAAAATAGCCGCTATTTCCGCTGGTCCCTTACATAAGGTTCCATTGTTATTGATCTCCAGCTGCTTTATTATTTTCCCTGTTACAGTATAGGTTCTGCAGACAGTCCCAGATTTGTTTATGATTTCCCTTAGATTCATGAATGAGATTAACAAAGAAGTTGGATTTAGCTGCCCTGATTTCCTTTGTAAATCTGTTTCGTAAGGACACAAATATATGCCTGTCAGTCACAACATGTGATTTAAGAGAGTGCCTTAGAGAATTATCTCACTCCTTCATTGATTTCCTGATGTCACTACTAATCCAGGGGAGGGTGTGTTTATTTTTGGCCTTAGATTTGCTTTTCCTGAGGAATCGTTTTGATATGTTTTGGATTGTTGACTTAAGGGCATGTGTGTTGGTCTTGTTAGCAATTAAAATCAATTTTGTATGGCATAATTTAATTTAAACATACCGTCAGCTTAAAAACTGTTTTATTCTGAAAAAACGGAAGTTCTCGCACAATCTTAATGCCAAGCTTTTATTCTGAAAATCCTTCATCTCTGGTTAGCATTTAGCATTTGGCTAATATTACCTCTCCTAGAAAAATGAATGTGAAATGACACGGAGTGTTGCACACCAAAACCTACTGACTTTAACACTACATCTATAGACGTCGAGATATTATTATTGCTGAATATTAAATGAAGGTAGGCCTACAGTTTATTTTAATACGTTTTGTTTACAGAAGTATGTATCTATGACGACTTCCGGGGCTACCGTGAATGATAACTGCCGTAAAGTACTTCCAGTATTACTAAAAGTAACGATTATAGCCGTTAAAATGCAATACATAAAATACCATGAAAGAGATAAGAGGAGAAAAGCCGTGTGGAAGTAAGCAATGAATGTAAAATGTCGAAATCCTCTGTTTAATGCGATGTCGGACATTGAAGAGTCTGCAGCCACATCAGAGACAACGCCGGATTTTGTCTCTTCATTACCTTCTGCTTGTTCTATTACCACGTTACTTAATTACCCATTTGAACATTTTCAGAGACTCCATTAGTCTCGTTATTTTAAGTTTCTTTCCTGGGAGCGAGAGGAGCATCACAGTTTTCTTCAGTATCCACATCTGTACCTGATAACATTTGGCTCCAGTTAATGTTTTTAATGTCCCTGTCAAATTCATCAATATCACTCTTGGGTATTCTTAATTGGTAAAATGTTGTATTGGGTTTCAAATGGAAGCAGGATTTAGTGAGCTTTCTGGCTATGAGTTAGGTTGTGGTCAGACAGACCAGTGATACTATTGAAGATTTGTGTCACCCTTTCAGGTTTGTTGCTGAAAATCAGGTCAATTTGGGTTCTTGAGGATGTGGTTATTCTAGTAGGCCCCTTCATTAATTGTGTGAGATCAAATGTATTTGATACCCGTTCTAGTGCCTTATTACTTGCTTTGTCCTCCCAATTAACATTGAAGTCACCCATTAATACTATTTCCTTAGCAAAACTGCATTCCCTAAGCATTATTTCTAATTTGTCAAAGAAAATAGCTTTTGCAGATGGTGGTCTATACTCCAATGAGAATGAAAGACATCTATGGTGACAGGTTAACATTAAGACAGATATGCTCAAGCTCATTCTCAGCAGAGCATTGAACCTCATTACATGATATGTGGTCTTTGAAATAAAACAGTAACCCCCCACCCCTGCCCACAGCTCTATCTTTCCTAAAAACATTATAGCCAGGAATATGTATGGCTGAGGATGGGGAGTTTTTATTCAACCAAGTCTCTGACAAACATAAATAGTCCAAGTTAGAGTCTGTTAAGAGATGTTTTATCTGATCACTTTTGGGAACAAGACTGCGGATATTCAAGTGAGCCCCCAGCAGACCACTGGGTTTTGCATGATGGTCCCACAGCACTCTGGCATTGTTCACTGTTTGAAAGAAGTTGAGTTT